GACCCGTGTTTACTCCTCGCCGATCCACGCCCTCGCCGATCCACGCCCTCGCCGATCCACGCCCTCGCCGATCCACGCCCTCGCCGATCCACGCCCTCGCCGATCCACGCCCTCGCCGATCCACGCCCTCGCCGATCCACGCCCTCGCCGATCCACGCCCTCGCCGATCCACGCCCTCGCCGATCCACGCCCTCGCCGATCCACGCCCTCGCCGATCCACGCCCTCGCCGATCCACGCCCTCGCCGATCCACGCCCTCGCCGATCCACGCCCTCGCCGATCCACGCCCTCGCCGATCCACGCCCTCGCCGATCCACGCCCTCGCCGATCCACGCCCTCGCCGATCCACGCCCTCGCCGATCCACGCCCTCGCCGATCCACACCAATCCACACCCTCACCAATCCACACCCTCACCAATCCACACCCTCACCAATTCACACCCTCACCAATTCACACCCTCACCAATCCATCCAATCCACATCCTCATTAATCCACTCCCTCTCCAATCCACACCCTCACCAATCCACATTCTCACCAATCCACACCCTCACCTAATCAATCCATACCCTCACCAATCCATATTTACACCCTTACCAATTTATATCCTCATATTTCATAATTTTATATACATATATAAAAATTATCTATTATAATTATAATATTTCAATATTTTTATATATATTTTTATAACGACAACACATTGTTTATGAGGCGCTGCTCGGCGGGCCTCATCATCCAACGCATGGCTCTGGCACGCCGGCCGCAGCACGACCGCGAGCATCGACTGTCTGCCAGTTCGACGCCTCCGTGGCCCAACGGATAAGGCGCCCGACCACGGATCGGGAGATTGTGAGTTCGAATCTCACCGGAGGTAACACTTTTCTCCACATTTCTCTCTCTTTTGCTTGCTTACCCGGCCTCATTCTCTCTTTCTCTCTCTTTTGCTGCCAGCGGCGCGAGGCTTTCGCGCGAGCACAAAAAACAAGGAGGCGCGGAAAAGTAAACCGGAAAAGGGGCATTTCTCTGTCGCGCGTTTCTTTCTTTCTTTGCCTCCCCCCTCGCGCTGGGGACCGCCTCCCAACCGCCGCCAGCGCCGCGCTCACCGGGCACCTGCAGCCGCCGGGCACGCCGCCGCCGCCGCCCGCTCGGCCGGCAACCTCTCAGTCTTGCGCCCGCGGTGCTGGCGGGTGTCGCCAAAGATAACATGTGCACGAGCAGTTCTTCTTCGACGAGCCAACGCGCGCCGCGCTGCTCCGGCTGCTCTCGCGGCACGAGCGGCCGCTGCTACTGTGCGCGCCCTCGCTCGCCGTCGCCGCCGAGGCGGCGGGCGCGCCGTACCTGCTCCTCGACCGCGACGACCGCTTCGCCTTCCTGCCGCACTTTCGGCGCTTCGACCTCGACGCGCCCACTGCCGTGGACGGGTACGCGTACGACGCGGTGCTCTGCGACCCACCCTTTGCCAACTTTGACCTCGGACGGCTGCGGCGGGTGCTCGAGGTGCTCGCCGGCGGAGACCCGCTGCGGGCCGCCTCGCCGCTCTACCTCTGCCACAACGAGCGGCGTGAGGCGGCCCTGCGCGACGCCTTTGCCGGCTCGGGGCGGCAGCTGGCGCGCCTCGCGCCGGTCGGCTACTCGTCGGTCAAGGAGAGCACGCAGCAGTCGGTCCGCCTCTACGGGCCGCCGCCCGCGCAGCCGCGCCCCGGCGACCAGGGGGCGGAGACCGCCGCGGTGGGGGCGCGGGAGCGGCGAGGGCGAGAATTGAGCACGTGAGATTATCGTGTGTGTGTGTGTGTGTGTGTGTGTGTGTGTGTGTGTGTGTGTGTGTGTGTGTGTGTGTGTGTGTGTGTGTGTGTGTGTGTGTGTGTGTGTGACGCAGGCATGTCGATTGTCGTAGAGAGTGTGACGGAGTGAACCGAGAGCGAGTCAGAGCGAGAGACACCGCCGGCCCGCCGGTACGCGGTAGTGTGGGGGAAATGGCTCTGCACCGTGTGGAAAAAAAATTCTGCACCCGAGGGTTTTACCAAGCTGCCAGCCCACACTTCACGCACTCCGGGCCCTTGGTTGGTTGAGGTTGGTCCCGGCTAGTTCCATTTCACTGTGGCACAGCTCGCGTTACAAAACCTTGATTTTGACCATTTGCGCAAAAAGGTACATTTTAGAGAGGGACGTCCGCCGCAATTCGGACAATGCTCTTTCCCACGCCCGCCACATGACGCCCACCACCGCCGCGTCGGTCGGCGCGCGCCGACGCCGACCATCACCACCGACCGACGGCTCGCACGGCACTGGTTGGGTAGTAGTCTAAGTTCTGAGCCTCGCGGCTTAACGGGTCTAAGTGTGGCTAGCCACGCTGGAGTGCTTACGCGGTCTAAGATCAGCGGGAGCCTCTTACACCGGCTAAGTCGGCCATGGCACGCGATATACGGCGCTCGCGCCCAAATTTTCTTCGCCTGCGCGGCGGGCGATCGATCCTCCTCATGCTCAGCAATCGCCGCCTCAGCATCCTCCTCTTCCGATTCTCGTTGCTGCTTCTTGAGCGCACTTCGGCGACATCTAGCCAAATAGTTCTCACAAATAGCCTCAAGCTCAAACAAACGCATGTCAGAGAAGCCTGTGTATGCTGGTCCTCTTTGAACGACGATGAGCTGATTGGGATCGCAGAAGTGCATGCCAAGCACCGCCACGATCTTGAAGCAGAACACATCGCAACCGCATCGTCCGCACTGCCATCGGCATGCCGCGCCCGCCGCTTCGCCGCAGCCGCCTTAAGGCACGCATAGCGGCAGCACATGGTACGGTGCGCGTACTTGAGCAGGCGTTGCGCGCCGCAAGTAGCGCACTGGCCCTGGGAGACGGCGATATGGCGTCGTGCGCGGCATACGCTAGTCGGGACCGCGTCCAGGTATTTTTCGGGTAAACCTGGACTTTTGCAGGTATACCCGGGTTTTACCCGGAGTTGGCCTCGTGTCGTCTAAGTTCATGGCCCCCGGCCTTCCAGCGTCTAAGTCTGAGCCCGGCTCCGTGCGGGGGCTAAGTTGAGCGCTCGCTCGCTGCAGAGGCTAAGTGTAGAGCGACCCTCTAGCCCTACTACCCAACCATTCGCACGGCCGTGCGGTGAGCAAAAATTTGGGTCGCTGCGCGCCTGCCGGATGCTCTGCGCCTGGGGTGTCGACGGGCCCCCGGGGGCGACGGGGGTGCTCTCCGGCCGCGGCGGCCGAAAAGGGGGACCTCTATTACGGTCTATTAATGAAGTGATGCACTTGATGCAAGGGTGCCATTGTGCTCTACTACAAAAGTTGTGTAAGATGCCCAAGTCTCAGACGCTGGATCCTTAGCGGAGCTGAGTTCTGACGGTGTGAACACGAGCAACCGGAGTGACGACCGGGACCGGGCCGCACGCCGGGAGTGCCCCGACTAGCAGTGGCGGGCGCGGACGAGCGAATGAGAGGTCGCTATCTGTGGGAGATGTGTTATTAGAGACTAGGGCTGCCTATCTCTCACTGAAAGGGACCTCTCATTCGCTCGTCCGCACCCGTCACAGCTCACGGAGTGCTCCGCGTGCCGCACCGGCCGCCGCCGGCCGCCGGCCGCTCACGGTAACGGAACAGTCTTACTACTCCGCAACGTTGAGCTGGATCAAACTGAATAGTGCTCCTGAAAGCCCTCTCTATGGGCTCTGCCACACAGTAGCAGCGCACGACTAGCCGCTGTTGTGGCTGTATTTGTAGCCATTTTTAGGCTTCAACTGGTCCCAAAATAGTAGCAACACCTCATGAAAATCAGTCAAAAAAGCCCGAAAAAATCGGCGCCTGCGGCGGGCTTCCTGGGGCTGCGCCCCAGACCCCCTTGACTGGGGGGACCCCCCGCGATAGCACCCCCGTCGCCCCCGGGGGCCCGTCGACACCCCAGGGCTCTGCGACGTCTGGACGCTCGCCAGAAACGCCAGGAAGCTTGCCTTCCACCCCTGGGCCCGAGGGCGAACGGCAGTGGTCGGCAGCCTCTGCGACGCTCCGATCGGCTCCTCGACCTCATCGCCTGCGACGAGCCAGCATGGCTCGTCGCTCGACGGCAGCCTGCTCAGTATGCTCTTGGCATTCTGTACAGCCTCGCCAGGCTCTCTGAGACGGCCTGCAGGGCCGGCGCGGACCGCCTCGGGCGCGATGGCCCTCCTCAGTACCTACCTCTTTGATGCCTGGCGGCTCTCCAATCTCGTCGCCGGCGGCAGGCCCGCATGGCGCGCTGCTCGATGGCAGCCTGCTCAGTACGCCTTGGACAGTGACTTCTGCCTCGCTGCTCTTACTGCAGCCGCCTCCGGGGCCGGCGCCGGCCGCCTCGCTTCGCCAGTGCTGTCTACGCCTGCGACACGCGTGTCGGCTCGCCGCCCGCGTCGCCCGCGGCGGGCCCGCATGGCTCGCCGCTCGTCGGGAGCGTTCCCAGCAGGCTGTGCAGGGCAGTCTGCCTCACTCAGGGCGCCGCCGCCGCTGCGCGGGGCCGCCACCGGCGCTGCTGCCGTGAACACTGCCGCCGTGTACGTCACCATCGCCTCTCTTCGTCGCCGATCTCGCCGACGCCGCTCGCCGCTCGCCGCCGCCCCGCCCTGCCCCGCCCAGCCCTCGCACAAACAATGAAACAAACCAACACAGACACACACACAAACAGACACACACACCACAACTCCTTGCCCCCGCGCCCTCCCGCCTCACGCCCTGCGCCTCACGCCGCGCGTCCCACGCACGCCCCGCGCCCCGCGCCCCCTCACCTCGCGCCTCACGCCTCCCTCCCCACCCTCTCAGGCATTTCTCCTCCCTGCTGCTCGCCGACTCCTCCTTCCCCCGCATGACCGACGACTACCCGTCCTTCGGCGACTCCTCCCTCTTCGGCGCCAACGTCTACTACCGGGGGACCGTCGCCCTCGGGCGTACTGGAATGATCCCAGCGGCACACGTCTACGAGGGGGGGCTCCGAAAGGTCGGCATGCCTGGCATGTCGGCTTACTAGGCAGGTCATTGACCTCCCCCCCGCTTGTCCACCTGGCGTGAGGGGCGGGAGCGCAGCCATTCCAACGGCTGGAGAGTTTCTGAACGGCCGTGCATGCATCTGCATGCCGGCTTACTAAGAATGTCCCTCGCTCCTGCTCCTCTCTCGGAAGACGCGCGCCGGCCTGGGGGACTCGCTTGCGATCCCGCTCCAGCCAGAGGCCGCGTGAGGCGTGTGGGACGGTGTACGCTGGGGCTCGGCCCCAAGTGCACTGGCCTCGCGTCTCGAGGGGAGGGCGGCTCGTAACTGAGGTTCGCCGTCAGGGACAGTCGTCCTCCCCTTCTCGGCCGGGCAACTAGGTCATTGAGGCCCCCCCCGGGGAAGAGACCGAACGGCCGGCCGACACTCTCGGCCATTCCAACGGCCAGGCCGCTCGCTTAAGGCTGATTGGCTAGACGAGCGGCCTACCTCCATGGGGCTGTTGGCACGGGGGGAGGTGTCAATCACGCTCCCGGGACGCCGGAGAGATCGGGTTGGTCTCCCCCGCCTTCAGCCCTGACCCGACGGGGACGCCACCACCCTCGCCCAGGGATCTACAATGCTGTCTTAAGGTCCGACAGGTTCGGCACCGGGCACCGCCTCGGTATACAAAATGCGCCTGCGGGCGGACCCTCACAGATCACAGATCACAAAAAGGTACATCTCGGTGCCTTCCAGAGGCAGCTGCGACCCCGCCGAGTAGACGGCGGCACACAGCAGGTGGCGCGGTGTGCCGCCGTCCACTCGGCTGGGTCGCAGCTGCCTCTGCGCGTCCTGGGTATGTACCTTTGTCGCGCGCCGGAGACGACTCGACGCCGCTGAGATCGGAGATCGAGCTCTGACAGGTCGCACGTCGCTACTTTGACGCCGACGTGACTCACCCGTGCAGATCACATCAGGACACGGTCTCGACGCGCTCGGTACGACGCCTGCGACCCGTCTCGGGTCAGGTGGCACGACGCTCATCGCACCTGCCAGCGCTGCCGTGCAGGCTGCCACGACGAGGTCGAGCACGCTTCTATACGCTCGCCGAGCCTTCCTTTCCATCCCATTAGGCAGCCTGGGAACGGTGGCGGTCAGAGGCAAAGACTACGAGGGGTGGTGGAACCACATGTCACGGCTACTGCCGGCTCGACCCCACGATAGCCTCCGAAGGCTGACTTTGAGGCACCATCATCGGACGATGTCGACGAGTTGGGTCGCTCTCGCGGTAGCCAGATGACCTCCCATGCTAGTACCATCGGCTAGGGCCGCAGGAAGCGCGGGGGAGGGCGCTGGGAGCAACACGGAGCTCCGTTGGACGTTTTCAAGATTAGCGTGTCAGAGTGAAATGGAACTAGCCCCCCCACTCTGCGCACTCCAGGCCTCCAGATGTTGGTTGGTTGGTCCCGCACTCTCCGCACACAATACTGTCCCGTTTTGCTGTTCACAGCTAGGGACGGCCTCTGCGGCAAAGTCAAGCCACCCCACCTACCTACACCGTACCACCTCCCTCCCACCGCAGCAAACCTTCGGCTCCCGCTCAGAGGCTCGCCGCGCCCGTGCTGCGCGCCGAGGCGGCGCCGAGGCCGGCGCCTTGCACCCGGCCCGCGGCCGGCACCGCCTCGCCCCACAACTGACCGCCCTGCGGCCCCTGCGCAGGCGTGCCACAGGCGTCGCTCAAAAAGCGACGCCGGGTGTGGGCTGCTCCCTTGACCCGTCACCCGCCGCGCCCTCGCCCGGCCGCCTCACCGCTCACGGAGCGCTCGGCTGCTCGCCGCCGCCGCCGCGCGTCCCGCGCCGCCACGCTTGCCCTCCTTTGCCTGACGCGCGCGCTCTGCACCGGCAGAGCGCGCGTCTGTCACAGACGGAGCAGCGACCGCGCCAGCGGTCGCTGCTCCGCCCCTCCGTCGCGCGCGCCGCGCGCGCGCTGCCGCCGCCGCCGCCGCCGCCGCCCCCTCCTCGCCGTCTTTCCCACCCTACCCTCTGTTGCGCGCGCCGCGCGCTGCGCGCCCCCGCCCCCACCCCCGCCCCCGCCCCCGCCCCCGCCCCCGCTCCCAAGCGCCCCTCCCCCGGTAGGTGTGCGTAGAAAGTGGAACCAATCGACAGGTGGCAGAAGCCGCCGTGTGTGACACATATTGCGGCACGTGAGTGAGACAGCCCCGGCGCGCGCAGCGCAACAGACAGGCGTTTTTTATGCAAACAGCAAACGGGACGGCCTGCGCAGCCTCTAACTATATTGTCTATTAGTATCACACACATACGCGTTTTTACACAGCCGCCTTGTCCTTATACGCGGCAAGCACCGAGGCAATTGCTGCCTTCGCTGTTGCCTTAGCCCTCTCGGCAATGGGGTCGCGAGCCGCCGTCACCGCGAGTGCCGCCTTAAACTTCTTGCGCACCTTGCCCTTGATGTCTCGGTTGTGGACACGCTGCTCCTCCACCTCGGCGTCGTGCTTGCGCTTCGCGGTCCGCCGCGCCTCCTCGTACCTCGAGCTGCACCTTCTCCTTCCTTTGCGCCGTATAGAAATTGCGCCGCTCCTCCTTGATCACGTCCACCGACATCTGCGCCGCCTCGCGGTCCGCCGGCAGCGTGCGTGCGAGCACGTCGTTTGCGTCCTTGAGGCGTGCGTCGATGTCGGCCTCGCGCGCGCACCACGCCGCCTGCATCTTCTCGAGCTTCGCCTTTCGCGCCAGCTCCGCCATCGCAAAGGCCGCCTGCAGCTTGTGCACCCCGCCACGATCGCAAAGCCTGAGGGAGGGTGTATGTAGAGGATGTAGAGTGTAGAGCGCTGTAGAGCTGTAGAGGTGTAGCGCGCTGTAGAGCGCTGTAGAGCTCTAGAGCTCTACATCCGCCGCGTGACGAACTGCGTGCGTTGTAGAGCGATGTAGAGGCCCTCTACAACGTGAAATCTCTACAACAAACTCTACATCATAAGCGGCGAACGAGGCACGGTCGCTCTCCGACATGAGGCGCGTTGCACTTGCCAGTGCTGCCCTGGCCTTCTGTCTGCCCGCCCAATGGGTGGCAGGTGCCTCTGCTGCTGTGGCATGCCTCGCGGCTGCGACTGGCCGGCGCCTCGGCGCGTCAGCTCGGCTCGGCGTAGCGATCGTGGCCAGCGCAACTCGCTTGGACTCAACGCTCAGCCACAGGAGCTCCCGCACGCGCTGGCGCGAGTCATGGCGCATGCAACGCGTCTGAATGCTCGCCTCGCCTCGCGCAAATGCGACCGTCCTCGCAGCCGACAGTCCACCGCCTGCTAAAGAAGCACAGCGACGAATGCGGCACTGGCGATGCATGGCAGGCTGGTCATGACGCAGTTGTAGGGTGTTGTGTGTCGTCAGAGTGACTCTCTGTGTGTCAGGGATAGTCAGGGCCGTCCATCAGAGCTCCAGTAAGCTCGGAGACACCCCATTAGCGCGGCTCGACCTCTTTGAGTCACTGCCTTCCCGGCGGTTTGGCTGTAGAGCCTCTACAACAAACTCTACAGCAAAATCGCGCTCTACATCGCTCTACAACGCACGCAGTTCGTCACGCGGCGGATGTAGAGCTCTACAGCTCTACAGCGCTCCACAGCGCTCTACATCTCTACAGCTCTGCAGCGCTCTACACTCTACATCCTCTACACCCTCCCTCAGCGCAAAGCACGGGCATCGTGGGCGCCCGGCCTTACGCGCTGTTCACAGAGGGCCCCCTTTGGGGGGGGGGGGGGGGGGCTGGTTGGCTGGTCCCGCACTTCGCGCACTCGGGCCCGGAAACAGTTGCCAGTTGGTTGGTCGGTGTGGGCCTTTTGCGCAGTGCGTGTGTGAAGTGGGCTGGCAGCTTGGTAAAACCCTCGGGTGCTGGCGGCTCTGGCGGCAGGTATGCACCAAAAGTGTTCGGTAGACCAGCCTCTCGATACACGCCACGGCCCCGATGCGTCCGCTACCACGCTCCAAACATTCCCCCCCTCCTGCTGCAGGTCGCCATCAAGGAGCCGTCCTCGTCGTGTACGTCGTGCTGCCGTCGCGTGTACCGAGATGCCTCGCAACTCAGGCATCGAACGGGCAAGAAGCATAAGAAATCAGCCAACGACAACATCCACAGGCAGCCCAAGGCGACCACCGAGCCCACGGTCGCCACCGAGGCGCCGGAGCCGCCCGCCGCGCCCGACACCTCGCCGGAAATGGAGGTCGAGCCGGCAGCGCCCGACGCGCAGGCGCTCGCGACAGGCGCGGCTGCTCGGCGACGTCGAGCGTGGTGCCCGACGGCTCAGGAGCCTTCTACCATCAACCACTACCACGGCTGCCACCGTCGGCGCCTTTAGCTCGAGCTCTCCGAGAGCCCTAGTCTGGCCGGTTTTTTTGCGGTATCTTGATGTATCTCTCGACCATATCCCGCCATATCCCGCCATATCCCGCCATATCCCGCCATATCCTGCTGTATCCTGCCCGCCTCGCCCGGCCTCTCCGCGCTCCGGCCGCAGAGCGCACGTGCGGCCGCTCGGCTCAGGGGGGGGAGGGAGCCGCTCAGTCGACCTCCTCGACGTATCTTATCATATCCGCGTGTATCTCCCGGTATCCCGCCATATCCCGCCATATCCTGCCATATCCCGCCATATCCCGCCGCGGATACCGCGAAAAACCGGCCAGACCAGGGATTCCGAGGCCGCGCGTCTGACCTCGTGCCGCGGCTGTCGTCGCTGCAGCAGCGACGAGGGCCGCGGCAAGGGGTGCAGCGGCGACGGGCGGGGGGGGGGGAGGCGCGGCCAGCTACCGGGTCGTTGCCCCCGCCCACCGCGCCGGGCCCCTGCACCCGGAGGCGGCTTGCGGCAGCCTTGGCTTCCCGTGTCTCCGTGCGACCCGCTTGGAGGTAGCAGGTAGCCGGCCATGTGTGGCCCACTTTAGAGCTAGGGCATGATCTTAGGTGTTCTGGATAGCCCACAAGGGTCTTCTTTGGCATGGTAGCGGTGGTTTTGCGCGAGGCGTTCATTCAAAAATCACCATTTCCCCCACTACCGCCGGCTCACCGCCGGCGGTAGCTACGAGGGGAAATCCCCGGTTCGCCCGCCCACACCTAGCCCCGCACATACGGCGTCGAGCGGCAGACGCAGAGCGGAGCTGACCGACGGTCATTTTGGAGAGCCGTCCTGGTGTCGCCGTGGTGCCCGACGACGACGAAACGAGACGCGGCTCACGTGAGGGGTGACCGCGCACGACGGACGCGAACACTCTGAACCCCACGCTTGGCGCTGTACGCGCGGTCCTGGCCGCCCGCCTCACGTCATGCAACAATGGGCCAGGCGGCAAAGGCGCGCATGCTGCCACCTTCGCTGCCCTTTGCTGCGAGGATGGCCACAGAGCTCTGAGTGACGATCATGACTGTCAGGAGGAGCGCCAGAAGGAGCGTGCCTCCCTGATCCTCAAAGTTCTGAGGTCGCTTGTACTCTAGCGAGTTGAAGCGCAGCGCGTACATGCGCAACGCGTAGAGCACAAAGGCAGCCGCCGGGCAGCTGAGCGCGAGGCCCACAGATTGGACGGTGAACGAATTGCGGCCGCTCTGGAGCGCAGCCCCGACAATGGTAAGCGTTGCCGCTAGATCGAACCAGTTGAGGAGCGTACGCTCGTTCGCAAAGTATGCGCGCGGCTCGACGCGCACCGGAAACACGATGTCCGCCGGCGGAGCCGCGAACCCCAGCATAACACTTATGCCGTCGGCCTTTCCAGCGATGAAATTCGGCGCGGAACACAGAAAAAAAAATACCCGGCTTTCCTTGTTGAAATCCGGGTGGAAGAAAAGAAGCAGACCAGCGGGTCACGCTTTTCTTCCTTTCCCGCTCTCAAAAACGGCAGCTGTCCAAGCGGCCTCGTTCAGGCCCTCATGTCGCTTTCCTCCAGCCGCACCGTCGCTGCCCTGCGCCCCAGGCCAGCGCTCGCGGTCGAGCCGTCGTCGAGCGTCGCCGGCGCCGCGGCGAGGATGCGCGAGAAGAATGCTGATGCGGCAATCGTTGTTGATGCGGCCGGCGAGCTGCTCGGCATCATCACCGACACGGACATCGCACGCGTGCTGGCCGAGGGCGGCGACCCGTCCGTCGAGACGGTCGAGGTCACGATGACTGCCTCTCCACGGTCCGCGCCACCACCTAACCCGACGGACATCGATTACATTACCACCTAACCACCACCACCTCCTCTCATCCTCACCACCACCACCACCACCTAACCCCTCCTCACCACCGCCACCACCTAACCACCACCACCACCACCTCCCATCCTCACCACGACCTAGCCCGGCCCCGACCCAAGCCCACGACCTAGCCCGGCCCCGACCCAAGCCCACGACCTAGCCCGGCCCCGACCCAAGCCCACGACCTAGCCCGGCCCCGACCCAAGCCGACCTACCCACCAGGTGCGTGCGCTCGACCGACGCCGCGGTGGACGCCCTCACCACCATGGTGGAGAAGCGCTTCCGCCACCTTCCGGTGCTGCCGCCGTCGGGCAGCTCTCCCGTGGTCGGGATCCTCGACATGCGCGCCTGCTTGTACGACGCCATCGCGCGGCTCGAGCGGCACCTGTCGCACGTCTCTTCGGCGATGAGCTCCGCCCTCTCGCGCTCGGGCCTCACCGCCGCGGCGGCGGCGGGCACCGTCGACAGCCTCGTCTCCAAGCTCTTCACGCCGACCCTCTCCGAGGTGCTCGGCGAGCAGCTCGGCGCCGTCTCCATCGCCTCGGACTGCAGCGTCGCCGCCGCCGCCGCCGCCGTCCGCGCCGGCCGCGGCGCCGTCCTCGTCCACCGCGCCGGCGCGGCGGCGGCGGGCGAGGGCGGCATCGCCGGCATCGTCACCTCCAAGGACGTCGCCTTCCGCGCCGTCGCGGCGGGGCTCGACGCGGGCTCGGCGGTGGAGGGCATCATGACGCGCCGGCCCGACTCGATGCCCGCGAGCACGACCGTGCTGCAGGCGCTGCACCAGCTGCAGTATGGGGGCTATCGCCGCATCCCAGTCGTCGCCGAGGACGGGGCGCCCGTCGGCGTGCTCGACGTGCTGCAGCTCGTCGAGGCGGCCCTCTCGCGGCAGGCGGCCGCCTCGCACGGCTCGCAAGGCTCGCCCGGCGGCGGAGGCCCCTGCGACGCGCCCGGCTGGCGCGGCTTTTGGGACGGCGCCGAGTCGCTGGTCGGCGCGCCCCTCTACCAGCCGCCCACGCGCAAGACGCTGGGCGAGGTTGGGAACTGCCTCCCCTCCCTCCCCTCCTCTGGCCGCGACGGCGCCTCGGAGCCCGGCCCCGCCCCGCCGCCGCCCTCGCTGCCCGCCTCGCTCTCCGCCTCCG